TTGGTGCCTTCTCCCGACGAGGGCCTCCAAGCTCGAAGCTACCATCCAGAGTTCTTTTTTTCTTCGAAAGAAGCTGTTGTCCGACCAGGGGTCCCATAGCCAGTCATGAAGGCTGCTAAAGTTGTACAGGACTTCGTATTGTGATGTAAGGAGCTTCCCTTCATGAAGTCGTCTTTTGCCTCTCCAGATACCATCCCCTTTGCCTGCCTGCTCATTGTCCGCAACATAGAGCCCCACAATCCTCAAAACGCCCTGAGGTGCTGCGCAAAAGCTTCGAAACTCGGAGTTGCCTCAAAGCCGCCCAATCCACTGGGGATCGTGGCAAGGAATCCTGAGTCAGCGAGAGTCCGGGGGGAAAGCATCTCAAAATGATTCCGAAATCGCAACTCAAAAGAAAACTCCAGAGAGAGCGCAAGACTCTTCACCTCAGGAATAGACCTTCAGTCTTCAGTCATAAAGGGCTTTGATCTTGTGATCTACTGGGCTTGCGCGGCCGATGTTGAACCTCGGTTCTCAAATCAGCCCGGCGGCGCAGCTTGGGTCCTGTCCTCGGCTGGCGTGGTTTCTGCAGGCGCAAGGACGCAGGGTGAGTTTAGGGTTTCGGAGGGCTGAGCGCCTGGAGCCTTCTACGTTACAGGGTATCTTATGAGGATCAAGAAACAACAAAGTTGTTGAATAAATAGACAAGTGTCGAACTTCTACGTCCGCGAACTTGCCGCCAGAGAGCACCTTCAGACTCTCTCGGTCGCTGGGGAGGTGTTTGGGTCATGAGAGTGCAGATTCGGAGTCAGTGAGCCTGATGAAGCACATCGAACCATAATGTGGGCCCCTACGGTAGTACCAAGACCCTGTCTGTAAGGATTCCAGTACCGGACCTCTGACTTTCAGAACCCGGGCGGCCTTTCCTCGAACCTCCACGTCTCAACAATGTCTGAGCCAGGCAACATTCCAGGCGGGCCATGCCATGGGATATGTCCTGAGATCTACGTTAAACCGCGATGCTAAAGGGGCTCCGAAGGTGGGACGAATGTAGCTTGGATGCTCAAGCCTGCCTGCTGCGGTGTCGAGGCCGCTCTCGTTTTAGGGGTCTGTCCGTGTCCTGCGGACCTTTGCATCTTCGGGTGGACAGGCAATAACCTGAATTTGAAGCAAGGGTTTGTAAGAGTTTGGAACGCAGTCGCGCATATTCCCGTGGAACCTCACTTTAAAGCGCCAGCATAGATCCTATGTACTTTCTGTGAACCGCCCATGCATGGCTTCGAAGAACAAGGAGACTCGCAACACGAAGTTAAACCCTAAACCCCTAAACCCTAAACCCCTGAAGCCCTAAGCCCCTAAACCGTGTGGACGTAGCGGCCATCTGGAGCTGTCTTGGCAGAGCCCCGTTGCCAGCAGTGTTAAGGCGACCTCCAGGGCGAAATCTGGCGGAACGCTTCGGGTTTAAGGCTTCGCGGACCTGTACTTTCTGCTTTGAGTGCTCCTGTCAGGTCTGTTGTTCTTCGTACTCTTGACCTTGAAGTTCATGTCGAAATCTGATCAAGCCCGGCCGCAAACTGGAGCATAGCCGAGCCTTCGTCAGGGTCATGGCCACACCTTCGCGCCCAGCGCCAGTAAGCTCGCGCTTCGCCGAGTAGATCCAGGCTCTTTGGTTTCTGTTGGGTTTACGATTTTTTGGCTTAGGCTAAACGCAAAAAAATTAAGGCTTTCGTCGGATAAGCCCGGGACAGGTTTAGGCGGTAGGACTTAAAAAGCCTTCTTCTGCGGCGTTCGTATGTTCATGACAGTACAGATCATAAGTGGTATCACCCCAAATAGGGAGCCGTAAACCTGCTTCTAAGCTACTTACCAAGTGTCACGATCCTTTAGTAAACTTTGAATGAGGGTTTGGGTTGTCTCTCATGAAAAAGAGGCTATGAGGGATACTATTACTGGTCCTGCAGATCAGTATATTAGCCGGGTTTTGGGCTAGGCTGACTCAAGCTTTCAGAGCCCGGCTGCAGCTGACAGCGCCAACAACCTCTTGGCGGTAGCAACACGGAAAGTGCAGGGTCGAGGGTTGGAGGTTAGTGGAATACGCTGAACATCGTGTTCACAAGGTTTCGTCGTAACCATATGAGGGCGGTTCAGGGTCGCCCCCAAAAGAAGCAGGAGCCCGAAAAGGCAAAGCATAGCGTGCCCCAAAGGACCGAAGAAGCTGCTAACGGCTCTTCAGCTTGCAAGTATGACACTGGCACAAGCATCTGGAATGTTCAGGGTTTCTCTATACGATAACAATACGGAAGATTATAAGGGGATAGTATACTAAGTGGTCAGACACGCATGGGAGATGCATCTTTCCCCAGCGATGCAAGAAGTTCCGAGCGCCCAGCAGGAATCCTTCTGGGCCAAAGGCTCAAAGTAGCTTCATTCCTCAGCCCCAGGGGGTTTTTGGGCTGGAGACATCAGTTCTTCTCCAAGCCCTCTGAGCTTGCTAAGCCCTGGAAGCCGGGCGATTGGTGGGCTTTGAATGGCCGTAAAAAAAAGCCAAGAACCCCGAAGGTCCGATCTGTCACCGGGAAGATTTGAGTGGAGCTGCAGCCCCTGTAGCCTACTGGCAGGTCCCCTAGTCCGACTCTGCACATGAAGCTACCCCGGAAGCCGGATGCTCAATGCCGTACTGTTGATGATGCAAATCCTGCATTGCCTGAAGGACCGTAAACTACGGGAAGTATATATATATACACATATTCCTTGTTATTGGTAATGCAGGATTTATATCCTCAACCGTATTTCACCTGAGCCTCACTACTCGATGCGTCGCTCGAACCAGTAGCTGCAAACCCTTGGCCCCGACCCAAGCTCTTGAACCGCGGTGCAGCTGCGCGCGCGCCCATTCCCGAAATGCCTACGCAGCATGGGGAGCTCGGCTTGTTATCACATGGGCTCTTGCTGGGTTCTTGTTCAGGAACAGATCCCAAGTGTAGTAGCTTAAATTAAATCCCGTAACAACAACCCAGCAGCTGGGTCTTGGTTGCTTGCACTTTAGGGCCCGATCAAGAGTCTTGAAGATGATCTAAACCCTAAACCGTTTCTAAACCCTAAACCTAGAGCTCAGGGTCTTGCGATGCTTTCGAGCTTCATGCCCTCAGGTTTCCAGCATCCCCAAGCCCACAGGTTTCCTCAACCTCAACTGCCTCTACTAATCGAGGGACCCCCAAACATTGCACCGTAAACTCCCCAAACCCAAAACTCTAAACCCCAAACCCTGAACTCCAAACCCTAAACTCTAAACCCTAAACTCTAAACCCGAAACTCTAAACCCTAAACCTGCTACATGGCAACTGAGGTTCCCCACCCGGAGGTTCTGTGTATCTCCCTGAAGCGGATACTTCTGAACCTTTAAACCCCTTAAATGGGTCCAAAGCAGTACCTAAAAAGCTTGCGTCAAGGGTTCCTGTTGAGGGTTTAGGGTTTTATGGGTTCCTTTAAAGGGGTTCCACAGTGCCTACATAGGAGATTGGAGGGTTGTTTACATACTAGGAATTACTATTAAACTTGGGGAAGTATCTCCCACAACGGACCTGACTCAGTGAATCACCTTTCAGTAAGTGCCTTAGTGTTGGGATCCCCCAAACATTCCTAGGTGCAAGAAGGAGCTGGGGGTGGGGGGTACTCAGTGAGCCTACTTTCCTCAAGGGCCTCAAGAGGGAGGAGTCCCACTCCCGCTTCTCCAGTATTTTGGGGAAACTGAAGGTGAACTCTTGGGGAATATAATATGCGTATTGGGATTTAGGGTTTAGGGTTTAGGGTACTTGCCCAGTTTTTTGGGGGAACTAAAGGTTAACTTTTTGGAATATATTGGGATTATAGAAAGGTTATAATTATAGTACACCACGAAGGTTAAAGGTTGCCTACTCTACTACTAGGTATCATAGTGTCTGGTGCAGGAGAGGGGGGATCACGGGTCTACGTGAAGTCGAAAGCCTGGGAAAACCCCTAAGCGGCTTCCTTAGGGGTTTAGGGAGGGATGTAGGACTTAGGTCAGGCTACCCTAAACCCTAGAACCCTTAACTTTGAATCCTAAAGCCCTAATCCCGCAAACCCTAACCCCAAAACCCGAAACTAAGGGGTGTAGTCAGGGTTTAAGGTGCAGGGCCTTGCTGCAAGACTATTACAAAGGTATTTGATTGAACCCTGTGTCAACCGACTCTGAACCCAAATTCTATGCCAATGCTCGAAACAGTTAACACATAAACATGTAAAGTAGAGTTCCGCATATACTGGATACGGGGATCTCTGTGTTGTAGGATGAGGATGAGTGTCGAAACAATTCAACCTTGTTCTCCATGGTGTAGAGGGCCTTCGGCATACTATATGGCATACTTATATATGGGAGCCCTAAAGGGAATACGGTTGATGATATAAATCCTGCAATGCCCATAACAAGGAATATACCACAATTCCCATAGTTTAGGGTCCTTAAGATAATGCAGACTTTGTATCATCAACAGTACGGCTTGAAAATGTATCAAGCCCTCAGCCGGCTTTGGCGGCTTCACCGGGGGACCTAGAAAGGGACCCTCATTTAGGGAACTACCCATATATGGGAGCCCTAAGGAATAGTATCCCGACGAAAGAGCCTCGAAGGCTCTGAAAAGAGCCCAACCCCCGCCTCCAGAGCTCGCGCGCGCCGGCTCTGGGTGCTTTTGAGCCCAATTTGAGGTGCAGATGGAAGTCTTAAAAGTCCTAAACCCTAAACCCCTCAACCCTGAAAGATAAGGTTTCGGGTTTAGGTGTCGAGGTTCCTAAACCCTAAACTCTTAACGATAAGCCCTAAACCCAACAACCAACCCTTAAAGCCTAGAGTGGCTTCAAGTTTTGGGGCTTGAACGGTTTCGTCTTTCGTTTTTTTGGAAGGGGAATTTTCAGGGTTCGGGGTTGGAGGCCTGTTTTAGACTGGGTGTTTCAAAGCGCGTCTGGCGAAGGCAGATTTCCCTCTGCTTGATGAAGTGGCGCCAGGCTCATGGTCGCAAAGGCGACTGGGAAGCATTCGTGGCCTTGTCCAGGTCCGCCTTGGCCTCCAGCAGCAGGCACGCAACCTGCGAGTGCCCTCGCGAATATGCACAGCGCAACGCAGTGTAGCCATTATTCTTGGCCTTGCCCGTGTCCGCCTTGGCCTGCAGCAGAAGGCGTACAACTTCCAACTGCGCCTTGTCAGCCGCTATGTGCAAAGGAGTGGTGCCATTGTTCTTAGCCTTGTCCTTGTCAGCCTTCGACTCTAACAGAAGGCGTGCAACTTCCCACTGCCCGTTCTGAGCTGCAAAGAACAAAGGAGTGGCGCCATTGTTCATAGCCTTGTTCGTGTCAGCCTTTGACTCTAACAGCAGGCGTGCAACTTCTAACTGCCCCCTGCCAGCTGCAAAGAGCAAAGGAGTGGCGCCTTGGTTCATGGCCTTGTCCTTGTCAGCCTTTGACTCCAACAGCAGACGCACAACTTCCATCTGCTCCCTGTCAGTTGCAATGAGCAAAGGAGTGGTGCCATCGCTCACGGCATTGTCCTTGTCAGCCTTCGACTCTAACAGAAGGCGTGCAACTTCCAACTGCCCGTTCTGAGCTGCTAGATACAAAGGAGTGATGCCATCGTTCGCGGCCTTGTCCGTGTCAGCCTTTGACTCCAACAGGAGGCGTGCAACTTCCAAATGCCCTTTGGAAGCGGTCATGGACAAAGGGGTGGCGCCATCGTTCATGGCCTTGTCCTTGTCAGCCTTTGACTCTATCAGCAGGCGTGCAACTTCCAACTGCCCGTAGTCAGCTGCAAGCAGCAAAGGAGTGGCACCGACATCAGTCACCTTGTCCGTGTCAGCCTCTGATTCCAATAACAGGTGTGCAACTTCCCACTGCCCAGCTGCAGCGGCAATGTGCAAAGGAGTGGTGTCCATGTTCGCGGCCTTGTCCTTGTCAGCCTTGGCTTCCAACAAAAGGCGAGCAACTTCCAACCGCCCCTTATAAGCTGCGAGGAACAAGGGGGTGGCGCCGACAGCATTCACCTTGTCCTTGTCAGCTTTGGCTTCCAGCAAGAGGCGCGCAACCTCCAAGTGGCCGTGCTCGGATGCGCGGACCAATGGGGCTGGATGACCTAGATCTGGGTCTTGTGGCTTTTGCAGAATTGTCTCCACGACCGATGTCAGGCCATTCTCTGCAGCACGCCGAAGCTCTTCAATCTGCGCTTCAGATGCTAAACTGAAACTCACTAGCACGAGCTGAACGTCGCCAGGTCTCAAGATGTGCTCGTCGTCAGTGTCATTCAACACGACGCCATCATCCAAAGCAATCAGTTTTTGCCTGAACCTTGGCAGCCCGCACAAGCTGTACAAGTGTTGCTTTAGTGCTCGGACGGGATGGCTCCCGGCAGCGAGTGTGTCCAGAAAGCTTGCCAGTTCAATCGTGACAAGGACTTCTCCAGACACTGTGCGGATCAGTAACATCTGCCACTACAGGCCTAGGCTTCTAGGAGCTTGCCGAGTCCTCAGGGTAAAGGCTTGAGCCTAGGCATCTCACTCACCACCAGTAGCCGCCGCACCCCTCCGAAGGATTTGAGGTTTACTTCGGCTTCGAATTTGGGATCCTCGGGCCCGAAGCATGAAACCCGGTTCCACTGAAAACCCACAATGCCTAGACGTAATGAGAATGGTTGTTAGGTTCAAGCGTGTCTTGCGTATGGTGTTCAAGCTCCTGCTTCGCTGGCTACTTATTTCTGACCGCCCCGAAAGCGCAACCTTTATTTCTGGTCGCCCCCAGACTGCCACCTTATCTAATCGTACCAGAAGTAAATCTTATTTAATCGTACCAGAAGTAAATCGGAGTAATTAACAGAGAATGTCCGTGACGCCACTGGCAGTTGTGATCGTAATGGGATGCTAGCAACAGGAAGAGGCGTTGGGCCATCATTACTGGCAATATAAGTAGTAATGCACTTCGCGCTACTCTTGAAGACAAGCAAACAACGACAAACATACATCAAGATCAAGACGAAGTTGTACAATGCATTCGTGGCGTAGTTACACTAACCTATGCAACATTTCAGCAGTCGAAGCACGAAGGACCTCCCCCCCACTTCACTACAGAATAAGTTTTGTTTTTTTTTACAAGCGCTTCAGATCCACGCAAAACCGAGTCAAGTTGCACCTTGACACCACAAGCCCCACACCAACATGCCTCACCAGATTCCTTTTTGCTGCATCCAGAGGTGGTGGTCGAGGCCGGATGATCTTCTGGCAGGAAAACGGGAGTGTAAAGGATTTAAGGCATGCACCGAGAAGTGCCAAAGTAAGGTATTTGACTCAGGGTGCAGATCGAGACATCTGCAGCCGAAACCTGCAAGCGCTATTCCCTATCGCCACATCACTTCCAGATTGCTGACAGCTAGTCTTTCTTTGATGTCTCCCTCTGCGCTTCGGCCACGAGCCCTACTTCTTCAGCATTCCCACGGTGCGCTGTTGCTCCAGCATTCAAGAGTCCAGGGCCCTTGCTGCCTAGGCAGCTCAGACGAGAGTTTCCAAGGTAAGGGGCTCATTTCTGAAAACTAGGGCTCCTTTCGTCAACTAAGGGGTTCCTTTCTTAAGTAGTGGTGGTCCCAACTACTAGGAAGCGTTTCGTTTGTGACACAAGCATCCCTCTTCTCTGTGATGCATGAGGTGCTTCGCAGCTTGAGGCCAATTTATGTTGTAGTAGGTCGTACTATGCTATACTACTATACCATACTGTACTTCACCATGAGGCACCATGTTACCTCACACCATGCTGTTCTAATCCATACTATGCCATACCATGCCATACAAAACCCATACCATATTGTACTATGCTGTGTTGCACTGTACGAAATGCGGCCATAGTATTCTATTATGCTATATTCTGCTATCTTATCTTAGAATCGAAGGCGGTTCTGGTGTGTCTGGCTACGTTGCAGCAGCTTCGCCTCTTAGGAAACAGAAGGCCCTGTCCCTCAAGACGCTGTAAGTTCTGGCTTTGCCAGAAGCGGGAATATATCACACAACAGGGCGACGGGCGTGAGCGAAAATGTCTCCCTTCAGTGGTAACGACGCTAACCAAAGCTGCGACTGGGAGGGGGGGGGGGCCCTCTTTCAACCAAAGAGGGCCCAGGCCCGAAGGAGGCACCCCAGGGGCGCTTCCCCTTCAGCGATTCCGAAAGCTGCCGTGCCCTTTTCTAGGGGTTGAGGGTCAAGCACGCATGGAAACTTACCGAAGCTGAAGTCACATGAGTTCCAGTCTTTGGGACGACAACGGAGGAGGGCACTGCGGCTTCTGCAGCAGCTTCTGACGAAATCCAGCTCAAGCAGTGGCCTAGTCCATGCGCTGAGCACTAGAAAGTTTGTTCCATCGATTTTACAATTTAGGGCTTGAGGGTTCAGGGTCGCCAAGTTGACAAAGTATTCAACGCCTGTGGTCTTTCACGAGGTTTTGGGGTTGGACGTCACCGTCTTGGGAATGCTGTAGATAGTTCTGAAACCCCAAACCCTACTGCGCTTTGAAAGGAACCCTTGTTTGACAAGCCCTGAGTCGACCCGAACAATCCAGCTGTGCGCCGCTCAGCCATCGAAGCCCAGTTGCCTATGTCTGAACCGCCTAAACCCTAACCCCTAAAGCCTAAGCTCTACAGTACCCTAATAGACATTGAGAAGCAACCCTTATAGTAGGTTGTTCTCGGTACATAGCCATCGAGCAGAAACCCACTCCATCGGGAACTAAGCTTCGGGGATACAGCTCGTTCTGGGTTTCTGTGTCATCAACTGCCGGCGGCTCACCCGAAGCCCTGAAGCACAAAGCAGAAAGCTCATGCCGTTCAACCCTCGATGAAGCCCCTTCGAGTATTTCGGCTCAGGCTGTGCCTAAACCCTAAACCCTAAACTTTAAGCCCTAAACCCTAAACTCTTAAACCCCTAAACCCTGAACCCCTACACACTAAACCCTTAAACCCTAAACCCGTGCACTGCTTGAGCGAAGGTCCATGCTTCGATTGAGTGCGCTCTGACCGAAGGGCTTCTCACAGGGCTTTTTTTCTGTTGCAGGGAGACCTCACACCTGCAAACCCTAGAAAGGCCATGAATCAAGCTTTGAATGGCATCATTCGAGCCGAATGCAGGGGCCTTAACAATAATTAGAACCGGGTTTTGGTCCAAATGATACTATATGTATAATAAGGAACCTCCCCAACATATCATAGGTAATTATTAAGGCATCTATTCTTTTAAGCATGGGCTCCTCGGTCAGAGCACTTGGGTACACTAGCTCGAGACGGCTTGCTGCAAACTCCTGGATGCGGCTTTCGACATGAAAGCAGGAACATGCGACACGGTACGGACCCGGGGCAAGGTAAACCGTACTCCCCAAATCCCAAAGCCCTTAACTAATCTTTCAATCCCTAAGCCCCAAACTAGACCCTAATCCCTAAACCCCTACATCCTAACCCCTCAATCCCTAAACCCCTAACCGCCACAACTCCGGCCTTCAACTCCTGAACGATCTCGAACCTACCACCCTAGAGGGCCCCAAAAAATCTCGCAACCCCCTGGCGCCCTGATCCTTTCTTTGCGTCCCTGCACTGGTAACTTCTCCTCCTACGCATCGAACCTGGAACTGGAGCCCATTCAAGGCGGTCAAAGTGCAGCTCCTTTAGGGGGTATCGCTTAGGACTCGGGGTTTGTATCAGGCCTTAGTAAGGAGTCCGGGGGCAATGAGTGTAGCACCTCAC